CTACACACATGTACACTCATGCACATACACAAACATGCACACACACACACACACACACACACACACACACACATGCACACTAAAAGAATAAATAATATTTTTAATGCCATTCTTTTTTAAACAGTTTTTAGAAGCATGGTCTTACTATGTAGCCCTGGCTGGCCTGGAGTGTGCTACCATACTGACTTTTCACTGCTGTTCTGATAACCAGTTAGACATGGAATTGTTCAGTGAGTTTCTGTGTTTGCCTCTTTTGACCATAGTAAAAAGAAGTCTGATGATTGAGCATTTGATGCTCTAGAGAGACATGGCAGGATTTTGTAGGAACTGCTGAGTCTTTATTTCACACCACTATTTTCAAGTTAATGTGTTTCACAGTGCTGGTGCTGTGACTCATCAGGCCTAGGTGCTAGCTGCCAAACCTGATGACTTGAATTTGATCCCCAGGACCCAAAGGGACATGTTGGAAGGAGAGAATTGACTCCAAAAAGGTGTCCTCTGACTTCCACATGCACGTGTCCCCCAATAAATAAATAAAGGTAAAAACAAAAAACAGAAGAAGAAACCATTTCATGGCTAGTAGGTAGCCTGAACCCTCTTGATGTAACTTGTTCACTTGGGGTTCACAGCAGAATTTCTCTTGAGTGGTCTCAAGAATTGTCTTTTGCAATAATTAACAGTTCGGGATTTGTCAATTCTGAGTGCAGTCATTCACATTAATAAAATGGTAGGTTTGGGATATGCTCAGGACCTTACACAAGAAGAGTTTCAGCTGTGAAATTGGTGAACCTGTACCACCTTTGGTTGGATTCCCCCACCCTCTTGTCTGGACTGCATCATTGTCCATTGCTGGTGTTGGTTCTAAAGTAAGCCAGTTAATTGCTTGGAGGTGGCTTCTGTTAAGGAAATATGCCTGAAATAAAAATGAGGAGGTATCATAGAACAGTCCCTTTACTCTGTCCACCACAGTGGAATCCACCCCTCGAGTGAGTGCATGCCTGTGGGCTAGTCCTGAGGCTGTTTTCTTGGTGGCTTGCCTGCTGTCCACTGGGGAGCCCATGCTCCTTTCATTTTCATTCTTCTCTGACTACAGTGCTTTTGAACACAGAACCCCCCATCCTCCCACCACCCAAACTCCACATTCCAACTCCGTGATCTCATGGTACCAAGCGTATCTCCCCTGCCATGCCGTCAGACCGCCTGCTGGCTCTTGCTGAGGAACAGACTGCAACATAAACTCAGCGCAGAAGAGCAGGACGCTCTCTGTATATTTTTAAGACCAGGGATCCAGATCCATTTAGAGGCTGTATTTGTTTAATAGCTCCTTGAAAACTGAACAAAACATTTCTTGTTGCTCTTACTTTTTGGTAACATCATTCCCTCAGCGCTGGTGTACAGTATCTCGGAAAGCAGAGAATGGAAAAGATGCATTAGCTCATGGCTAATCCGTTCCCACTGCTCATGATGCCGTTTTCCCACAGTCGATCCTCTTGTGCTTTTCTCTTCTAGTCTTCTCAAGAATTTATTTTCTCCAGTTCTCCTGGGGCACAGTTTCTGAGTTTGACCATGAAGGAATTTATATGGAATTATTCATATTCTTTTTTTTTAGCTTAATATTCCTGGTCTCCATAAACCTTTCTATAACCATAAACAGCCGCTCTTCTTCCTGGTCAAGTATTTCTGGATGGTATTTTCGCTTCCATTTACTAAGTTCAGAGTTTGTTTTTCTGCTTTACTTTCCCTCTTCATCAATCAGCCCTGATGCCCATTAATCATTTCTCAGTGCACTGAAAACCCTTTGCTCATTCCCATATCAGAGCTACTTATGGTCCCTGGGTGCTGGAGGAAGCCTCTCTGATATGTGTTCATTTTTTCTCCCTCCCTCCCTCTTTTCATTCTTCCCTTCTTCCCTTTCTCTCCCCTCTCTGTCTCTCTGACCTCATTCTTCCCTTCTTCCCTCTCTTCCCTTCTCCCAGTCTCTTCCTTTTAAAACCCTCTTCACTTCCCTCAATTCTCAACTGGAAAGTACTTTTAAAGTACTGTCTATTAATTATGATTTGAAGATTTCATTGAAGGGGGTAAATGTGTGGGAAGGGGGAGATGAGATTGTGAGTGGTTTGATTATATTTGTTCATAGTTCCTTGAATGGCATTTTTTATATCCTCAGAGCTACGAATCTTTTGGATCCCCTCCTGACTGCTTGGATCAGATTCAATGCTGGACCATAGAGATATGATGTAACATTCTATTTTGGCACTGTCATATTATTAGCTGAAAAAAATCACAAATTATATTTGTAAAATTTGGAGTTCTTAGAGAAAGAGAGCAGAAAAACTTAAGTAGCCTTGACACTTATTTAAAGTGGATTAGCTCTCAGGAGCTATTGCTAGGTAAAAAGATCCAGCTATAGTATGTTGTATGGTTCCCATTTTGGAGAGTGTAGTGTCATAAAGATGTCCAATCTGCCTCAAATGGTCTCATTTCAGGTTCTAACCAGATTCTTCACACTCTTGTGTGACAGAATGATACTCCAGAGCAAGGACAAAAAACAGCCTTTTTCCACACATAGTGCTGGAATAATTAGCTATTCATAAAAAGAAAATTGAATGCCTACTTCACACTTTATGCAAAACAAACAAACAAAAACACTCCAAATGGATGCAGACCCAAATGTGAAAGATAAATAAAGCATTAAAGTGCACACATACAATTGATATGAATGTATGTGTGTATGTGCATATGTCTTCAGGACCTTATAGTATTAAAAGATTCCTTCTATGACACAAAAGTCTGTAGTCAAGTGCATTATATTTATTGAACTAGCAAAGAACTTCCCTTCATCAAAAGATAATGGGAAGAAGTAAGCACACGGTCTTAGAATATATTTCCTCAACCTATAGTTAACTACAGTAACAACATATATAAATTCTTAAATAATGAAAGACAACTTACCTAAATAAAGCACAGAATAACTTGAACAGGGTATTCACAATAAAAGTAAAACTAGACAATAATCATAACAGACTTTCAACTTCTTTAATAATCAAGGAGATGAACTGTTAAACTGTTGTGAGATTCTACCTGGTGTCTGTTCTATTAGCTAAGAAGACTAGAATAAGCAGGACTAAGTGCTGATGGGAATCTGGAACCACAGGAAGTAGTAGGAGAGAGTGCAATTTGTTACATACTTGGGAAGAGTTCACCAGGTTGTAGTATGGTTAAAGATGCATGTATGTACCTTATGATTTTACAATTCCACCCTACATATAGAGAAACTTGGCAAGTGGCACACATAGATATATGCATCACAGTTGTCTTTATTCCTGTGTAACCATCTTGCAAATTTTTAGACCTACAGAAAAATGACCAAGTTATTTTACCAAAAGCAATAAATTCTTAATCAACGATGCTGAGCAGAACATGGGTAGCTAGTTGTATTGGTTACTTTTCTGATGCTATGCTAAAACAGCATGATCAAGGCAACTTAAGAAGAGAGAGTCTTTTTATGGTTTGCTGTTTCAGAGGGTTAAGAGTCCCTTGTGGCAGGAGGGCATAGCAGCAAGCAGCAGCAGCAGGAGCAGGAAGCTGAGAGATCACTTCTCCACCACATGCACAGAGCAGAGAGAACGAACTGTAAGTGGAAGGAGACTATGTGATCTCAAAGCCCACCCCCAGTGACATACTTCCTCCAGCATGGCTGCACCTCAGATGCCTCCCCCAAACAGTGCCTCCCACTGGGAACCCAGTGTTCAAATACTACACCAGCATGTGTGGGATTTTTTCATTCAACCACCACAAGAGTAGAGCAACCACATGTTGGCTTTGAAATCCCACACATACCTGCCATTTCCTTGCTCTGTGGGCACAGGCAATCTATTGATATCTGTGAGCTTTTGTTTCTCATCTGCAAATTGGAAGAGGAAAGAACCCTACTATGTTAGGCACTCAATTAAACATGTTCTTGTACGTAAAGAACTGAGCATAAATGTTAGCAGCATAACTGTCCAGTAAGTTATGGGGACTGTTAAGATTTTACGATGCTGACTAAAACAACAAGTTTGATCTTTAGAACCTTTAGTCAGATACATACTCAAAACTGTGAAGTCATCACTATATAATACTAAGTCACTCAGGAAAAATCGTTTTACTCTAATTTATTTTCCTTCTCATTTTTTTATAACAATACTAGAAAATGTAACTCAAAGGGAAGACATGACTAAGACAAAAAATATTTGTATAATTTATAAAATTATGAAGAATTTTAAAATTCTCTTAATAAATTAAAACTTAAATATGATTATTAATAATAATAAATAAACATGAAAATAACTTTATCTTTAAAATATTACAATGAAGTACATATTCTCTAGTTCCAGCCCAGGATCATACCCATTAAATTATAATATCAACAATAAGAAATGACTAATGGTGAATTTTTGCCAAATGTTGTGGCCTTCATTTTTTTAACTACAAAAAACAAAATCACATTTGCCAAATGTTGTGGTCTTCATTTTTTTAACTACAAAAAAAACAAAATCACATGCAAAATCCTAAGTTTCCTTTAATCTCTAGTGAGATGACATCTACATGCACAAGCATTCATGGTGCCCACTGGGACCAAAGCCAAGTTTTTCCTCTTAGGAACACTGTCCATTTACCCTGTTTCTGGTTCATTCTGTTCATGATTATATTGCCGCCTTATACCTCATTTTTGCCTAAATACAGCCTCTATCGTCAACTAGGCTTGCTGTCTTTTGACCAAGGAGACTTCTTCCTAAGCATCTTTGTGCGATTTGGAAGTAAGAAAAAGCATTTTTAACATCCGTTTGTCTCTATTAGCAACCACCATAGTGAGTTACATAGAGTGCACACAAAACAATGCATGGCAATGGCCATCAGGCTGCAGTTCATAGGAATAGGACTGTGTGGTAATAGGTGCATAGAATTCATGGATGCTGCCTCCAAAGCAACTATATTTTTTTGTCTTTTCCTTGCTACAGAAGGACAGTGTGGAGCGAGTGTTTTCTGGCATCCAGCCTACAGGAATCCCCCACCTGGGAAATTACCTTGGAGCCATTGAGAGCTGGGTGAAGTTACAGGAGGAATATGACACAGTGTTATACAGCGTCGTTGACCTCCACTCCATCACCGTCCCACAAGACCCCACCATCCTCCAGCAGAGCATCCTGGACATGACTGCTGTTCTTCTTGCCTGTGGCATAAACCCAGAGAAGAGTATCCTTTTCCAGCAGTCTCAGGTCAGCTTCTCAGACCAGAACTCAGAAGACTTGGGTTTTTACATCATTTGGAACTCCTGTTCACAATCTTGTTTTAATTATTCAAGGATGACATCATCTAATGTGATGTTTCCAGTTTAATATTTACATTCATTCATATCATTAAGTATCCTTCTATTTCAGTATTATCTTTGAACTTTCTCCTACTTTATTTTATAGTCTTTCATCCACCCCAAAGTTATGTCCCATTAGTTCTTTGGACCCTGGGATTGTTTTTCTGTGCTGGATATATTCAGTCCAGTGACCTCCCACTGTTGACTAATCTCCCTGTGATCAGGATTGAATTTTGTGACCAATGATTTTTTGTAATTCCAATGGTAGTTTATGGGATATTGAATTTGGAAGGCCTATTGGATAATTTTCATTGTTCATTCTTTGTATAATATCTTTTGAAAGGATTTGATGGAACAAGCCAGGAAATTTGAAGACAAAGTCCCAATGTCTTGTGTGTAAGCCAAGAAAGTCTTCAGAAAGCCAAAATAAATAAAGCCAAAATATTTGACTCATACCTTTACTATGGATGAGTCAGTTTATCTTTAGACAGGAAGAGATCCTGCCCAGAGACAGCAATTTAGACACATGCTAGCAAAGAAGAAAAGAACTCCTTCTGGGTCACACCCTTACTACATACCTGCTTTAACCTGCAACATAGCCTCACTCAGTCAAGGGGTCCCCTTTCTTGATCATGCACTTCTACTGAGTGTAAGTTTTAATATATGTTTTTATTAACCCAGAATTTACTGCAATGAATCACACAGAGTAACCAACTGAAAAGATACAATAAGGGCCTAGGGGCTTATCACTCAATGATAGGATGTTTGTGTAGTATGCTCAAAGTCCTGAGTTGTATCCCCAGTATGGCAAAACACACAAGTACACACAGACATACATGAACACACACACACACACACACACACACACACACACACACACACACACACACACACATTAAATGAAGAATATCTTTAAAAAATAAAGTCATCAATGTAAGCTTGCCATTCATATGCATATGTGAAATGATGTCATCTTTAAATGGATCATACAAACAACTTACCTAGATTTACAGTTGATCAGGAAACTTTTTCTTGTGACTTTTCAAGTTTAATGTTGGACAGATCTAAAGTATTTATCTATATTGGGCAAATATGGACTTCTTGATAATTTCCATGCATTTATTAACTTCTGCTTTCTAAAAAGCAGCAATAAATCAGCTGTATCTCCCACATACCTGCTTATCAAATACTTACACACATTTATTATGCCATCTTTATCCTATAGTTTTACTTTTTAAAAAGATTTATTTATTTTTATTTTCTGTATATGGGTGTTTTGTCTGCACGTATATGTGTACCATGTGCATGCAGTGCAGTGGTCATGGAGGCTAGAAGAGGGGACTAGATCCCCTGGAACTAGAGTTACAGATGTTGTGAGCTGCTGCGTGGTTGCTGGAAACTGAAGCTTTGTCCTCTGCAAGAGCAGACAGTGCTCTTAGCCCCTGAGTCAGCTCTCCTGCCCTAGTCTTACTCTCTTGAGGCTGCTGGTCCCTAGTCCTCTCGCCTTGTCAGTCATCCTGCCTTGGAAGCACTTCACCTTCTTTCTGAAGGACTGTGATGCTTGTAGTTCAAGATTCCCGCTTATTCCAGCCCTTGCACCTGCCTCGGGCACTGCAGAGCTGCTCATCCTCAAACCACCTTTTGAGTCACCTAATGCCAAGCACGTCAGCTTCACTCCCTCTACACTGGTTTTGATACCGCTCTCCTTCGATCCTTATTTGATGTTATTTCTAAAAATTGCATTCTCAGACATGAGTTCCTATTTCCATATTTCTTAGAGGTGAATATGTCTAATCTCCCCAAAATAACCTCTTGCCAAGTTGCTTTTTGAAGTAATCTTTAAATTAATGGCTATTTTAAAGCCACATTCAACAATTGGGCTTTAGGTTCATTCCTCCAAAGATAGTTTCCATATGATAATATTTTAATATCTCATTAGCATGTTATAAATATTTCTTTCTTTGTAACAGACTTTTGGCAGTGACCTCTATAGGCATTTAAAATGTGCAATCGTCGAGATATTTTCTTTAGCCTATAACACTTAAGAAAGAGTAACTCATAGTGTAAGAGACTTTGTGTAACTGTCTCATAGATGAGGGATAAGAACACTCACCTTCTCTTGGATGCTGCCCCTGGAACTCGTTGGTCCCCGGTGTCTGGTGTTCTGGGTCAGGGAGAGGTGAATGATGCAGAGTGGGGTCTGCCTGCCCCGCAGCTTCCATCCTCTGACTTGTCAGGTTTCTCTGCTGCCATCCTTGACTTCAGCTCTGTCTTGATAGTTTGACTGTCAGCTTTGAGGAACACACTCATCTTCTCTACCTTCCACACTTCTTCCCTCAAAACCAATATGAAAGTTTCTCAGGTGTGTCTGTAGCCACAGACATACCTGGTCTTGGCCATTCCCTTCAGTTTTAACTTAGTCAAATTGTTCCAACTCTGCAGATGGAGTAGATAGCCCAGGCTCCTTCTCCTTTTTTTAATATTATTCACAAAGAAAACATTGAGACATTTGTTAGAACAGGGCAGTGTGCTGTACTCTCACACCGTCAACAGTTTCTCATTTGCCTCACCAGCATTGTGTTTAGTGAAATAACGTAGATATTACATACAATAGCATTTCTGTCCTTAATTATTTCAGTGTGCCTTTCTATAACTTAAGAAAATGTTGTATATAAATACCATGTTATCATTATACCTAATGAAGTTGATGACAAATTCACATTGCCATCTAGTATCAAAATTATTTTTGAGCGATCTACCCAGGTCCACATGTTGGGTCTTTAGTTTGGGTTTGTTTTGGAGTGTGCAGAGTCAAATCTCTCCTTACATTGTGGGTTCTGGGGATGGAACTCAGGCTGTAAGGCTTGTGTGCTGAATGCCTTTACCGAGCCGTCTCACCCTCCCCCCCATCATAGGTCTCTTGAAGTTATCCTTCATGTCTAACTATAATTTTGCAGCCTGTACTCTTTGATTGGCATCTCCCCATTTCTCCCTCCACCGCCCCCCTGATAACTACCACTCTACTTCCTCCTTCTGAGTTCAGTGTCTTTCCGTCCTATATTTGATCCACAGGCATTTATCCTTCTATACCTGGATTATTCTGCTTAGCATATACCCTCCCACTTTATTGTTGCAAATGACAGTATTCCTTATTTTTAAAGACAGAATAGTATTCAGTAGTAGCTGTTTATTAGTCTGTTGATGGACATCTAAGCAGGTTTGTTCCAGATCTTGACTTGTGAGACTGCAGCTTGTGAAAGATGCTGTAATAAGCAGAGGAAGGCAGATACCTCTGACATACTGATTTCGCAGTCTTGAGGTATGGACCCAGTGTAGGATCATGTGGGTGTTTTATTTGATCTCCTTTAGGTACCTCCACGCCCTTTTCCAAGATGGCTGTGCTTTCCATGCCCACCAATCCTTTTCTCACACTTTGCCAACATGTGTAATCTTTTGACTTTTTAAAAGTAGCAGTTAAAGAGATATGAGGCAATGAACTTGTGAAGTCTAAAGTAAGTGAGGACAGAAAAGAGTCATCTTGTTAGATCTGCGAGAAGAGTGTGTGGTCGTGTTTATAAAGCGATGGGGCAGGACCCTCCCCTGCCCATGCCTGCTGACCCTCCCTGTGCTCTTTCCCCAGAATCTTCAGGTCCAGGGCCAGTGGGAGATTCACCTCACAGAGTGTCAGTCCACCCCCTGTGTGGTAGCTGCAGGCATCTTTCTACTAGATGTGAATGGAGCCTTTTGCCTGCCCTGAGGCCAAGCTCTACCTCAATTTAGCTAAGACTTCCAACCTTGAAGGCCCCAGAGGACAGCAAGCTAGCCTTGCTGCCACACTACCAGGGTGGCGGAAACTTAGCACCAGTTTATTTTGTGTTCATGATCTGCTTAACTTTCATCAATGACTTTTAGAAGCACATAATGGAAAAATTTTTTTTTCATTTTTAATTTTGAGAAATTTTGATAAATCAGGTTCTAATATAGGAGACAGGTAATGTACAGATTATTTATCTACATTATTGAATTTTTTTTCTCTGCTATTGATTCCTTTATTTTGGCAGTTTTGTAGCATGTGAGCATTTGGTTGATAAATATATAACAGAGATGACATAAATTTATTAAATAATTATCAAGATTTGGGAACTGAGGCCAGTTAAGATCATGTATACCTGATAACTCCATACAATTATTCACAAATAGGTTAATAGTTTTTGAAATTGTGAGTTATGTAAGAATATTTTTTTCCTACCATATAAGGTGTTCTTGGGTATAGCCATTGGGTTAAACGATGATTTTCCCATGTGCCCTGATTGAACATTAGAAAAAGCCCTAGTAATCATTTAAAATGGCAAAGGAATTTGGCTGTGCTATAATGCTGATTTTAACAATAATTTTCATCTGCAATCCTTTGCATTCTTTCTCAGCAGCCTGACTGGAACAGTTTAGGCATATTGAAGATTTTCCCCATTATTTTCTTTTTCTTCCTCTCCCACTGGCCTATAGTCATAGTGCTTCTCCTAAATATGTTTGCCATATGTGGGGAGTTTTCAGACCTCCTCATCCAAAAGTGTGTACATGAGTGTGTATGTGCACATTAATATGCTCACAAGCGTATTTTGGTTGAGAGAGGGGTGGGGTGGGAGAGAACACCTATGTGTGTATTTGGCAGAGGTCTCCATCTCGAAGCCAAAGCCACTGTCCTTTGTTTTTGGCAGAGCTGAGCACAGATCCAGTCTGAGTCCTGCAGATGTCTGTGAGGGACAGGTCTCCACATCTCTCCTTAACACTTCCCCTGCATTATAATCACCCCGCAGATGGAAGATAAAAACCAAAAGACTCAGCCCTTCGGCGCTGACTCCCAGCAGAGGTCAGGACAAAAGGGGGGCTTGAGGTATCAGATATCAACTT